AGAAGGTAAAGGAGGAAAATGTGAGAGTTTTGTGGAGAAATATGTTTTCATTCTCTGTCGTACACATGTGCTTATTAATTGTTACCACTTCTCATTGAAGTATGTATTGTATGTCTTTGTTTCTTACCAGTTGAAGAAAACAACAGAGGAACTAAATGAAGCTTTGTCAGCAAAAGAAGAAATTGCCCAAAGATGCCATGAATTGGATATGCAGGTAAGAAATCTGGTCTCTATACCATGCATTTGTGTCTTAGTCATCTAGTGCTGCTATAACAGCAATACCACAAGTGGATGGCTTTGACAAAGAGAAGTTTATTCTCTCACAGTCCAGTAGGCTAGAAGTCTGAATTCAGGGTGCCAGCTCCAGGGGAAGGCTTTCTGTCTCTGTGGGCGCTGGAGGAAGGTCCTTGTGATGCGTCAGTCTTCCCTTGGTCTGGGAGCATCTCAGCGCAGGAACCTCAGGTCCAAAGGATGCACTCTGCTCCCAGAACTGTTTTCTTGGTAGTATGAGGCCCCCATGTCTCTCTGCTTGCTTCCCTCTTTTATATCTCAAAAGAGATTGGCTTAGGACACTATCTAATCTTGTAGACCTCATTAATATAACTGCCGCTGATCCATTTTATTACATCATAGTGATAGCATTTACAACACACAGTCATACAATACTGGGAATCATGACCTAGCCAAGCTGACAGACATTTTTGGGGAGCACAATTCAATCCATGACAATTTGAAATGCACCACCATAAGTACCACCAAACATACTGTGTACTGCTATGCAGTACAGTTTGACTATACAAAACTCTAATGAAGGAAAATTTTTTTAAAAGAAGAAAGGAAAACAAATTTATGGTTAAAGACATTGGACTGAGCAAAGATGCTAATTTCCATTTCTTCCTTTGACCCCATTAAAATTATAATAAAGTAATTGAAATGGTGTAAACCTATAAGAAAAGAGCAAGAGCCTTTGTGGTGTGCTAGTAAACTAGCTCTCTAGAAGGGTGGGGGTGATTTTAATAAAGCCCTGGTTTTATAGTGTTTGCCAGTTACCATGGTATAAGTACTCCTACAGTGGCCATTTTCAAGTTACTAAACCATTCCAGCAGGAGCCTTGGTGGCACAGAGGTTAAGCACTCGGTTGCTAAAGAAAGTCGGTGGTTCAAATCCACCAGCTGCTCTCCAGGAGAGAGATGTAACCGTCTGCTTTCATAAAGATTTATAGTCTTGGAAACCCTATGGGGCAGTTCTGCTGTGTCTTAATGTATCGCTATGAGTCAGAATCAACTCCATGGCTGTGGGTTTGGGTTTTTTTTTAAACCATTTCAAGTTAGTAGTTTAACAGCCTGCTCATGAGACTTCTGAATATTTAACAGTCACCATGGTATTAGCCAGCTCCAGCCTGCCTTTGAAAGCCAAAAGGCAGTTGGAACAGTGCTGAAGGCCTAAAAGGAACAAAGAATGCAGTGACCAAAACACCAGCCGTGGATGGGGGGGTAGAGGGATCTGCTGTAGCAAAGTCCCAGAGAGGCCACAGGTATGATGGAAGGCTGAAGGGAGGCTGTTACCAAGAGCATTGTGAAGAATAGTTGAATCCTTCAACACCGTCTACCCACTGCATATAGACTCGCTTATGTTATTGCCATTTGTTGCCATTGAGTCGATTCCTACTCATGGCAACCCCAAGTGTGCAGAGTAGAACTGCTCCATGGGGTTTTCAAGGCTGTGACCTTTCAGAAGCCAATCGCCAGGCCTGTCTTCCAAGGCACCTCTGGGTTGGTTTGTACAGCCAAGCTTTTGGCTAGTAGTCGAGTGCTTAATCATTTGTGCCTCCCAGGAACTCCCAGCTATAGTCAGGTTCAAAATTGGAGGGCTCTTTTTTAAAGAAATTAAACAAACAGAAGTACTAGGGAGATTAGAGAGGGTATTGGTATTGCAGGGTAAGATCCCTTTCATTCTGGCATTTCTGGGTTCCCTAGTTTAGATAAAGGCAAGCTTCTTATGGATAAGTCCTAAAGTGAAGCAAGGCCATGAATGCAGAACTTCCAGTCACACTTGTTGGTGGGTGCCAGTGAGTCAATTTTCAACTCTTAGCAGCCCCATGTGACAGAATAGAACTGCCCCATGGAGTTTTCTACACTGTAATCCTTATGGGAACAGGTTAGAGTCTTTCTCCCATGGGGCTACTGGGTGGATTTGAACCACCAACCTTTTGGTTAGCAGCTGAGCGCTTAACTGTTGTGCCACTGTTGACTGATTCTTAAATGTAAGGAAAGGGAAAGTGAAAAAGATTCAAAAAAGAAAAGTTTCAAGATAAACACAAAACTAGCCCTAGAAGAAGTGGAGAAATTTGGAAGTAAGAGTTTTTTTTTTTTTTAAATCTAGTTAATGCCCTCAGTGAAATTAGTAAAGATGTTACATCTGTAACATAAGGACAAGATGCAAAAGGAAAAATCAGACATAAAGAAACACTTAATTAAAATAGAACTATCAAATAAAAAATTCAATAGAATAGTTAAAGTTGAGGAAATCTCTCACAAAGACAGAAATAAGAAATAAAGGTTGTCTGGGATTTACATCAAAATAAGGGGTAGGGAGGAGTGGGTGGAGATCCAAAGGAGACATAATTGGCTATGTTTTAATACTGCTTAAAGCTGGCTGATGGGTATATATAGAATTCATAGTATTTTATGCTAGAAGCATTCTACTTTGAAAAGCATGGGAGTTGGGTCATTACAATGGATGTATAAAGAAGGAAGTATAATCATAGCACACTTTTTGTGTATGTAGTAAATAATATTTACATAGTCCTAATGTAAGTACTGTTGCCTTTCAAATTTTAGGATCAAACTATAGGTAAATGATAAACATATAATAATAATAAATAGGAGTTTATTATTTGTATGAGCAGGATATAAATATTATCTTTAATAATATAAAATTAAAGGTATGTACTAGGGTTGATAACTGTGGCTTCACATCTGTTTTTATAAATAAAGGTTTATTGAAACACAACCATGCTCATTTATTTACATATCATCTGTGGCTGCTTTCATGCTACAACTGGAGAGTTGAGTAGCTGTAACAGAGACCTATGGCTCTGAAAGTGTAAAATATTTATTGTCTGGTCCTTTACAGAAAAGTTTGCCAACCCGTGGTACAGACAGATTACAAAGCGAAGGGTAAAATCGCAGAGCAGTTGCAAGAAGAGAAGGGGTAGTTCTATAACATACTTGGCTCTGCAGGAAACAGTATTAACACTGTTATAATAATATAAACTCTGATGTAATGATGTAAACTTTGTCTTCAACATTTAGAATTGTTATTGTAAAGTAAATGTGCAGATGATAGAGGTTGAAAAGTAGCATGGGAGGGGAGGGAGGAGGGAAGGTAAGACCACTAATGTTCTTATCTTAGTAAGTAGGGAGTCAAGAATCACTTGTCTCCTCTGTGGTGCAGCAATCATTACACGGCTGACTCCTTCCTGTCTTCCAGCCTCAACTCCAAATCACCTGATTTATTAAGCCATAAAATATTTATTGGACACTTCGATGTGTCAGGCACTATTTTAGGCCTCCCTAGGAAGGCCTGCCGTGGTCAGCCAATCCAAAGAATGATCCAGTCTCACCTGTTATTCTTATTTTAACCCTTTGCATAGTGCCTCTCACTCTGTCTTTTTGTATTTATTAATTTACTTTCTTGTTGAATATGAATTATTTCTTTTATATATTATGATTTGTTTTGAATATATGAGTTAAGGACTTTCTCTGCTTTGTCCATCACTATATCCCTTGTACCTAGAACAGTGTGACAGTGCTTAGCACATAGTAGGTACACAATGAATATTTGAGTGAGTAAATGAATGGTTGGGCGGTGGAGTGATAAGAATCAATAAGTAGTCGTTTAAAATTAAGAGATGGCCAGTGAAGGAAGTGAGAATAGTGATATAACTATATTTGGGGGGAGGGGGCTGCACAGGTTGCTGTAATCTAACATGTCAGAGGAGAGAGTCATTAGATAGTGTCTATGTCAAGAAGTAGTAGTATATAACATTATTTAGAGATGCAAAGTAACAACTAAAAGCAGTAAAATTGGGAACAGTTGAAACTAACCGTCTCTTGGGAATGAGAAAACTCAACAGGAAACTGTAGTTTTTCATTATAAGCCCTTTGCCTTATTTGATTTATTTTGAATAAATCATGTTTATTGTTTTCAACTAGTCTTTTTCTGCTTGTATAAAAAACATTTCTGCCATAATATATTGGATTAAAATATTTTAGCAACATTAGCTAGCCTGATAATTCTAGTATTAAAATTTGCATTAAACACTCAGCCTTATATGATTTGACCACATACCAGACTATAAAGCAATTCTCGATAAAATTCAAAGAATGTGGACTATATAGGTCATGCTGTCTGACCAAAGTATAATTTAGTTAGAAACAAAGAGATGAGTTTTTAAAAATCCCATTCATTTGGAAATTTAAAAGTGTGCTTCCAAATAACTTATGGGTTGAAGAAGAAATCATAACAAGAACTAGAAAATATTCAGAACTGGACAATAACAGACATACAATATGTCAAAACTTATATGATGCAGCTAAAGCAATGCCTAGAGGGGAAATTTAAAGCCTTAAATTTTTATTTTAAAAAGATGTATGAAAAGGACAAAAATGAATGAAGTAGACTAGTGGTAGAGCCCAGAAAACACTCATACATTATGAAAATCTGATAAATCAATAGAGCTGGCATTTCAGATTCATTTATTCATTCAATAAACATTTGTTGAGCACCTGCTGTATATCATAAGGAGCCCTGGTGGCACGGTGGTTAACAGTTCAGGCTGATAACCAAAAGATTGGCAGTTCGAATCCACCAGCTGCTCCTGGAAACTTTATGGGGCATTTCTACTCTGCCCTGTAGGGTCACTTTGAGTTGGAATCGACTCAATGGCGATGGGTTTGGTTTTGGTTTATATATCATGCAGTATTCTAGATGCTGTAGATACGATGAGGATAGGATACAGTAAGATATAAATAACAGACCAAAATAGGTAAAACATCCTTGCCCCCCAGGTGCTTACATATTAATGAAGAAGACAACAATAAACAAGATAAAAATATAGTAGGTTATATTGTGATAAGTGTTATAGAGAAAAATAAAGCAAGGAAGACGAAATAGGGAATACAGAGTGGGGAGAATTAATTTGAAGTTGGTTAGTCAACAAAGTACTCCTGCAAAAGTGCCGTTTTTGTAAAGCCCAAAGAAGTTACAGAAGTGAGCCTCCAGATTTCTCGGGGGGAAGAGCTTTACAGGTAAAGGGAAGCCTGAGTGGCAAAGTAAGTGCAAAGGCCCTGTGGTGGGAATGTGACAGGTGTATTCAAAGAACAGCAAGACTATGAGGATAGCAGGAGAAGGAAGGCGTGTGGGGGATAATAAAACCAAAAACCAAACCTGTTGCCTTTGAGTTGATTCCAACTCACAGCAACCCTATAGGTAGGAAAAGGAATCAGTCTGGAGAGGTCTTGTAAGCCTTTATAAAGACTTTTACTTTCAGTAACATGGGAAGTCTTTGAAGGATTTTGAGCAAAGTGGTCATGTGATCTGCTTTTTGTTTTAATAAATCATTTTGTCTGCTGTGTGGAGAACAGACTAAAGGGAGGCAAGGGTCAAATCAAGGAGACCGATTACGAGGCTATTGCGTTAATCCAGGCAAGAAATTATGTTGACTTAGGTCAGTATGTAGAGGTAGTGAGAAGTGGCCAAAATAGATTTGAGGGTAGAGACAGTGATATTCGCTGACAGAGTGCACATGGGTGCGAGGGAGGAATACCAAGGATGACGGCTGAGTGACTGGAATGACAGAGTTGCCATTTACTGAAATGGGAAAGACTGTGACAGGAGTGGAGGGTAAGTAAGAGTTCTGTTTGGACAATTTAAATTTGAAATGTCTGTTAGACATCTAAATGGAAATGATGTTGAGTTCAGGATTTCTGGCTAGAAATATAAACGTGCAAGTCGTCATGAAGCTAGACACCATCACTGTATTTAGAAAAGAAAATCTGTAGGGCACTCTGGTGTTAAGCGGTCGGGGAGATAAAAAGGTACAACTAGTGAGTGGTTATGGAACCCAGGAGAGTAAGATGTCCTGGAAACCAAGTGAAGAAAATACTTCAAGAAGGAGGATGTGGTCAGTTGTCAAATGTTGTTGATAGCTCTTAGTGACATGGGGGTTATGAGCGATTCTGTTGAGCAGTTTGGTGGAATGCTGGGGGAAGTAGCCGCACTGGAATGAGTTCAAGAGAAAATGGGGGCACGGGGAGGGAGAATTAGAGATAGCACACAGCTTTGGTTTTTAAAGGTTTGGTGAGATATAATTGACACACAGTAAACTGCTCATATTTGAAATGTACAATTTTGATGCATTTTGACATGTAGAAATGCATGAAACCATCAGCACAATCAACATAATGAACCCATCACCCCCAGAAGTTTCATCGTGCACCTTTATAATCCCCTGTTCTAGTTACCAGGCAGAGACTGCTGTGTTTTCTGTCACTATAGATTAGCTTGCATTTTCTAGAATTGTATGTAAAAGGAATCATACCGTATGTTCTTTATTTTGTTTTTTGGTCTAGCATCTTTCATTATTTTGAGATTCATCTGTGTTGTTGGTATCAATAGTTTATTCTTTTTATTGCTGAACAGGATTCCATTGTATGTGTATACCACAATCCATTCATTCATTCACCTGTTAATGAACACTTGAATTATTTCCTTTTTTTTTCTATTACAAGTGAAACTGCTATAAACATTCTTCATTGGTCCTTTTGTAGACATAAGCTTTTATTTCTCCTAGGTAAATACCTAGGAGTAGACTGGCTAAGTCATAGTAGCTGCAGGTTTAACATTTTAAGAAAATGCCAAACTGTTTTCCAAAGTGGTAGAAACATTTTACATTCCCTCCAGAAATGTATGAGACTTCCATTTGCTTCACATCTTTGGCAACACTTGGTAGGATCAGTCTTTTTAATTTTAGCCATTCTAGTAGGAGTGTGGTTTTAAATAATTTCTGTTTTAATTTGCATGCCCTTAGTCACTAATTATGAGTATCTTTTTGCTTGTTTATTTGTCATTCATGTATCTTCTATGGTGAAGGCTCTTTTCAAAAATAAAAGAACAAATTCTTGCTTACTGTTACATATCGCGTTGCCTGGGCAGTATTCCAAATTAATGTAAATGTTTTAAGTGAAGGTTGATTGTACTTCATTAAACGCGGGCTTTAATTCATAATGGTAATTCACAAATGATTGTGCTGATGCCAGTATAATTGGAGGAAATAACTGCTGTCTTCCTATATTCTAACAGGTTGCAGCATTGCAAGAGGAGAAAAGTAGTTTGTTGGCGGAGAATCAGGTTTTAATGGAAAGACTCAATCAGTCCGATTCTATAGAAGATCCTAACAGCCCAGCAGGAAGAAGGCACCTGCAGCTCCAAACTCAATTAGAACAGCTCCAAGAAGAAACATTCAGGTAAAAGACCACTTGTTGTTGTTATTAGGTGCTGTCAAGTCGGTTCCAACTCATAGAGACCCTATGTACGACAGAATGAAACACTGCCCAGTCCTGCACCATCTTCACAATCGTTGTTATGCTTCAGCCCATTGTTGCAACCAAATTTGGTAACTGTCATTTAAAGTTAAGAATGTAATATTAAGACTTCTGAGTAGCTGCGGACAAAGGAGACTTTAAAGAAAAAAGTAAAATCCTTAAGGCCTTCAGCTAGAAAGTTCAAATAAGTTACAAAGTCAGAATAATTAGAATACAGTCAGATTTTTCAAAAACAACATACAAAGCAAGGTAATAGTGGAGCAGTGTTTTTTTTTAAATGCAGCAGAAGAAAGTGTGAACTAATAATTTTTATCTCTAGCTAAGCTGTCCTTCAAATATCAAGGCTATAGAAAAACAGTATTCAACACAGAAGAACTTAGGGCATTCTTTACCCATAAGCCTTTCTTGGGGTCTCTACTAGAGCAGGAGTCTGCAAATGTTTCTATAAAGGACCAGATAATAAATATTTATAGCAACATTACTCATAATAGCCACAAACTGGAAATAGTCCTAATGTCCATCAATTGGTAAATGAATAAACAAAAATGTGGTGTATTCATACAGTAGAATACTATTCAGCAATAAAAAGGACTTAAGTACTTAAGTACATACATTCTACAAGGATGAGCTTCAAAAACATTATGCTAAATGAACAAAGCCAAATGCAAAAGATTACATATTGTATGATTCAACTTACATGAAATTATTAGAAAAAGGCAAATTTTATGGACAGAATGCAGATCAAGTTGCCTAGTGCTAGGGGTGGGAGTTGGAATTGACTGCATAAAGGCACAAGGAACTTTTTGGAGTGATAGAAATGTTCTAAAATTGATTTTTGGTGATGGTTACATAACTATGTTTATTAAAAATTACTGCATTGTACATTTTCCGTGGTTGCATTTTATGTTATGTATGGTGTAACCCAATAAAGCTCTTTAAAAATCAATAGCTTTCATGTACAGAAACATTAATCAGAAGACTTTATGGTGGAGAAAACCCTATTTACAAAACAACAAAGAAGATGAAATATTTAGGAATAAATTTAACAAGAAATGTATAAAACCTGTATAAGGAAAATTCTAAAACCCTCCTGAAAGACACAAGTAGAAAACCATCTTTATCATTGGATAGGATGACTCAGCATTATAAAGATATCAGTGCTCCTGAAGTTAATTTATAAATTTAGTACAATCTCAATAAAAATAACAAGAAGTTATTTAATAGACTTACTCAAATTAATACAAAAATTCATGTGGAATAGCAAGCACATAAAAACAGTTAAACACTGAAAAAGAAAAACTATGAATGTGCGCTAGTTCTACCAGACTGTAGAACATAGTGTAAAGCCTCTATGATTTAAACATTATGGTACTGGCCCATGAATAGACCAACAGAATAGAATAAAGAGTCCAAAATTATACCCGAATGTGTATGGAAGCAGCCTATGATGAGTGTTGCATCCCAGCGTGCTAAGGAAAAGTTGAGCTTTTTAGTAAATGGTGCTGGCACAACTGGGCAGCTATTTGGAAAAACAAAATTAGATCAGTAGCTCATACTATACACAATAATACACTCCATATGGATTAGGGATCTAAATGTAAGGAATGAAACCATACAAGTGCTAGAAGAACCTTGACATAGGGACAAACCTTCTAATTATGACTCAAAATCCAGAGGCCATAAAAGAAAAGATCGATAATTTTGACTACATAAAAATACATCTTTGCATGACCGAAAAAGAAACCATTATAAGCAAAGTTAAGAGACTGCTGACAAATGGGGAGAAAATGTTTGCAGCATGTACCACAGAAAAAGGTATGTTATACCTTGTTTTAGAAATTATGTTTAGAGAAAGAATAACTTATTAGACTACCTGTCTAGAGTTAAGAGATTTGCTCAACCAAACCAATCAAACCTGTATCAAGATTTTCATAACAGAGGGAAAAATAACAGTCCTATTAATTTTCTTTTATAGCCATAATTAAATTTCCACTTTTACACTGATTCTCAAGTACTTACTTTATGCAACATACCAACATTTCAACTCACAAGGTAACTGTGATACCAAATGGCATGTTAACAGCTTGCCAAAGCTTATACAAGCGTTGTTTTCAATGGTACAGAGGCATTTGCCACCGTTAGGATCATTCTGAAAATAACCTTCATGCTGTCCTTTGACCGTCTGCACTGTGGTTCACAGATCATCTGCATGACAGTCAACTAGGGAGCTTATTAAAAATAGATTCATAGGTCTTATCTTACCCCAGATCTGATGAGTCTAGGAATATGCCATCCTTAGCATACCTTTTAAAGGAGCCTGGGTGGCACAAACAGTTTCCAGTTGGCTGCTAACCTAAAGGTTGGCACTTTGAACCCACCCAGTAACTCCTGTGGAAGAAAAGGCCTGCAAAACTGCTTACATAAAGATTACAGCCAAGAAAACCCTATGGAGCAGTTCTTGTCTGTAACACCTGGGGTCACTGTGACTTGGGGGCATACTAACAACAACAACACACCTTTTAGTGTAGCTTCCCAGCCAGGCCTGCCTTTCCTCAAATGCCTGTTTCTTAAAGAAATTGGCTCTAAGAAGGCAATGCCTTAACCTTTCAAGGGAGTGTTTATATCTTAAATGTCTATTAATGTGTCATTGTTGTTCTTGTGTGCCAGTGAGTCGATTCTAACTCATAGTGACCCTATGTGACAGGGTAGAACTGCCCCATAGAGTTTCCAAGGAGTGACTCATGGATTCGAACTGCTGAGCTTTTGGTTAGCAGCCAAATGCGTAAACCACTGCACCAGCAGGGCTCCATCAATGTATTATAGAGTGTGGCTTTGTTACCCTGCTTCCAACTTCAGGCACCATAGGGCTGAATTCGTTTCTTGGATTTTTCCAGGGTCCGTAGAATAATAATATGGCAAAACAGATACTGTTTTTTCTCACCTCCCTTTCTGCACCTTTCAGCAATCCCTGAGGACCTTCTTTCCTACTTCAGATTACTTAACGGTATTCCAATTTATGGATGTTTATAACCAGTGAACTCCCATATACTTAACTATTTTGGGGGGATATATACCCTGTATAGCTTGGGATTTAGCAGTATGACAAAAACGTTTTGTAAAGATTTACTATAAAATATATTATGGCTTATTTCTTACCTAGTCACAAATTTCCACTGTTAAAACACTAAGAGAGATTGAATATCAATTAAGTTTTACTTTACCAAGTAACTCTTAGTGTGGTAGCATATCTGTTATTCCTTCATATTCCTCAGTGGAATGCTTCTGGATTTTTTTTTTTTTTTTCCTTTCTTTCTTTCCCGTTCCTTAACAGTTGGAGAGAAAAAAAACTTAGTCTTCTCAGAAAGCATGGAAACAGTTCATCCCCAATGGTCTACATCAGCAGTTCAAACTGTGGTCTGAGGACCCCCTTGAGATTCTCTGACACCTTTCAGAGAGTCTGCAAGATCCTCTCTTTTCCAACTACACATCTGTGCAAGGCTGGGTTTTCTTCATATACTTCAAGGAAAACAATATATTACAACAGATGAGTGTAGAAACAGATACGAGACCCCAGCTGTTGTCTGTTAAACCAGATATTAGAATCACAAAACAATGCCACTCTTTTCACTATTATTTTCTTTTAGAAATTATTTTCTTTTAGAAAATAATAGTTATTTTTCATAAAAATGTTATTTATTAACATGTAATGGATTTATTACTGTTACTTTTAAGTGAATTAAGTAACATTTTTAAGTTTTCTCAGTTTTAATTTCTAACATGGTAAATATTAATAGATGATGTTGTTGTGTGCCATCAAGTAGAACTGTCCTATAGGGTTTCCTGGGCTGAAGTCTTTATGGGAACAGATTGCCAGGTCTTTTCTCCTGCAGAGCTGCAGGTGAGTTCTAACCACCAACCTTTCAGTTAGCAGTCAAGCACTCAACCAGTGGACCACCAGGGCTCCTTTATTGATACATAAAACATGTATAAACAAAAGTTCTTTCAAGTCCTCAATAGTTTTAAGAGTATGAAGGCGCCCTGAAACTAAAGAGTTTGAAAACTTGTAGTCTGCATCTTGACCTGCTAAGACAAAATCATGGATAGTGAAATCCAAGCATGAATATACCCTTTGGTTTATAAATTGTGGCTAATTTTAAAATTATGGTTTAGGGGAATTGGTATTTAGAATTGCCCTAAATTTTCATTATAAAGGAAATAGTATCTAATGCTTTTATTTGTTCCAGCATACATATTTGTAATATTATAATTTGAACTACTTTCACAATTCCAGTATTTTATCAGTACCATATATTTATGTATCTAAGTATTCTTTATTATTCTTTACAGTCAGATATAATGCTTCTGCCTCATCTTTATTGTGACAGTGTGCCTTCAGTTTGTTTTTTGTATATTTTAAGTAAACCAATTGATTAATAAGGAGTAGGAACAATATTATTCATATTTTGGAGGGAAAAATATATGAGTAAAATAAGTCTGGAGAATATATTCCACAAATGTTAACAGTAGTTATCTATCTGAATTAATACAGTTTTATTTTCTTCGTGTTTCTATAATTTGCTAACTTTCAACAAGGAACATGTGTTAATTTCATAATAAAAAAAATTTAAATAAGTTATATCTGTAGTATTTTGGAAGAACATTACTTGATGTCTAAATTCCTGAATAGAAAAATGGCAAACAGTTTTAGCTTTTCCAAAAGCTTTTGCACAAAGGAATCTATTTTTAGTATAGTTAAGACTTGGGAATATAATTTACGGCCACAAAAGTAAGAGGCAAATTCAAGAAGAATTTATTGTTTTGTTTTATATTTTTATTTTCTTTTACTCCTCTAAGGAGAATTATTAGGCAGTAAATAGTACTTTCTTGATCTATTTTGTTTTGGTTACAGACTAGAAGCAGCCAAAGATGATTATCGAATTCGCTGTGAAGAGTTAGAAAAGGAAATCTCTGAACTTCGACAACAGAACGATGAGCTAACCACTTTGGCAGATGAAGCTCAGTCTCTAAAAGATGAAATAGATGTTCTTAGGTAAATAATCTTCCCATCTCTTTAAAATCTCAGAACCATCATCACCCCTTACAGCATCTACCCCTTACAGACTACCTGGTTTCAAATCCCTGTGCTATCATTTAATTAACCTCTGTGTAACTATTTTTATTTTATTTTGTTTTTGTCTGTAAAATCGAAATATTACACATAGCTACCTCAGGCTTTTAAGAGAAATTAAATTATACTTGTAAACAGTTGTAACAAGATCTGGCAAATAAGTGCTGTATACCATATTTTTATGCAGATAACACACACCTTCTATATTTGTTTGCCAGCTGTACCGTCCCGCCACGAGGTATTTTCCTAAGTGCTGCTATGCTAATTTTTTTTTACAGCAACAGGTTAAAAAAAAAATACCTCACAGTTGGCAAACAAATGTAGAAGGTGCTTAGTTATTTAAAAATACAGTAAGTGTTTGTTAAACAAAAATTAATCTCTGACAATCACTTCATGCTCTTATAGCTCTGGAGCTTTTATTCTTGCTGTTCCTCTTCTTTAATTTTGAGCCCTGTAGTCACTTGGACTTCTTTTTTCTCACATAGTGTCGCACCCCACAAGGCTTACCACCTCATTTTTCCACCTTTCGACTCCTGGATAATCTCTTAGCCTCTCTTGGATCATTGCAACCATCTTTTTTTTTTTTTTTTCTTCGTTAAATACTGAGAACTAATAGAGACAATCATATAGTGATATAGTTTGTCCTACTACACATTAATGATCTCTGCTCTTCACTGTATTCTTACCACTGGTCTACATTGTACTGCTCATCAATAGATAGCTCCATCCCACATAGCTGTTACATGTTTTCATAACTCTTCTTGCCTGACTGTCTGCCCCACCACACCGCCCCTGTGCCTTAGTCTCAGGAGATGATCTTGTCTCCTACTGCACAGAAAAAAGTGCCAAGACTATTGAACTCTTCATAGCCTCTATCTCCTGCATCCCTAAACTCCCCTGCGTTTCAGCTGTCTTTTCTTTTTTGGCTTCCAGAATACAGAACTGTTATTCTTTCTCATGCCTGGTGCTAATTCCCTCATCTATGCTCTACACAGGGACTGTGTTAAATCAATTGTCCTTTCTCTTCACTTCTTTATATACATACATACATGTATGTAGATTTTTTTCTTAAAAAAGACAAACTTGTTACTCTTTCCTTTTCTCCAGAACCAAATTTATATGACATAAAGTAAAACTTATGTTCTGTCCTCAATCCACTAAAATTTGCCACCATCTCCCCCTCTGCCATTACTCCACTGAAACAGCTGTTCCTGTGGTCTCTGGTGACATATTAATTGCTAAGTATTTGAACACTGCACAAACTTACTTTACTTTATTTCTGTGCTGCATATAACTGTGCTAGATACCTACTATTTGCTTGCCTTAAATTATATAACATTTTCTGTTACACATTTAGTTTTAATTTTGGTCATATTTTTTTAACCAGAGCAGAAAGTTAACCTAGAATCACTTTTGGTCTGATATCATTAGAACAGGTTGTTTCCTGGTAATCTCTCTTGGTTTAGCACTGTCTGAAGCAGCTTTACTGTGGATGTGTTTCTTATCTTTCATTTCCCATCTCATTCTAGACATTCTTCTGATAAAGTGGCTAAACTAGAAGGCCAAGTGGATTCCTATAAAAAGAAGCTAGAAGATCTTGGTGATTTGAGGCGGCAGGTGAAACTCTTAGAAGAGAAGAATACTATGTATATGCAGAACACTGTCAGTTTAGAGGAAGAGTTGAGAAAAGCCAATGCAGCTCGAAGTCAACTGGAGACATATAAAAGACAGGTAACAGAAGAGTAATGAAGTTTGTTAATGACGTTTTCAAGCAAGTTCTCTGTAAGAAGAGTATTCGCTTATAAAAAAATTTTGTTTTCATGGTATTCTGTTTTTTCCCTATGAAATTTAGTTCTTATCCAGAGGTTATTTATTGGTCTCTATAGCAGATCTTTTTAGTTTTTAATTTATTATGAAATATTTAAGAAATACAAAAAAGTAAAAGAATAATACAGTAAGTAGCAACACTTAAGAAATAAAACATACTCCTCCTTTATTCAGGGATAACCAGTATCATGACTTTTGGTGTTATCCTTCCCATGCAATCTTTAGACCTTTGCTGCACACAGATATATATTTATTCCTAAGCAATTTATAGCATTTTAAATACATTTCAAAATTTTATATAAATCATATGATGAAAGTACGCTTCTGCAATTTACTTTTTTTACTCAGCAGTACATTTTTAAGACTTGTTTATGCTGATAGGTATTCATTTTCACCGCTATATAGTATCCCATTGAGTGACTCTACCACAGTTTATCCATTCTCCTGTTGAAGAACATATAGACTGTTTCAATTTTTTTTCCCTATGTTACAAGAAATGCCACTATCTCTAGTATTGAAACATATCCCCTTCTGTACATGTGTGAACATTTTACGCCTTTGTGGGATTTCTTCCTTAGAACATCTTCAGTGTAATTAGATATAGCCAGATTGTTCTTCAAAGTAACTATACCACTAACAAGCAGTTTAATGAGTTCATATTGCTCCACATCATCACTTCCACAAAGTTGCAAAATGTTCACACTTAGGATTGTCAGACTTTAATTTTTGCCAGTTGAATGGATATGAAATGGTGTCCCATTATGATTATAATTTTCATTATCCTGATTACAAACATGTTTGCTGACTACATTTCTTTTGAATTGCCTATTTTTCTTTTATCCATTTTTAAATTGGATTATTTATTTTTCTTATTTCTGAAAGTTCTTTATATGTTCCACGTATTAATTTTCCATTAGTTATACAAGTTATATTTATCTCCTACCAATTGTGACTTGTCCTTTTACTTTTTTCGAAGCTGATAATTTTAATGTAATGAAATCGAAGTATAATTTTCTTTATGGTTTGTGCTTTTTGTGCCTTGTTTAAGAAATCATTTCCGACCTAAGGATGCAAGTCTAATTTCCTCTATTTTTTTTTTTTAATAAAGATAATAAAGTTTGTTTTGTACATTTAGGTCTTTAATCCACTTAGAATTCATTTTTGTGTAGGGCGTGAGGTAGGGATCCATTTGATACTTTTTGTATATGTGGATAACCAGCTAACCCAACACTGTTTATTTAATAGTTCATCTCTTTTGCAATGATCTGCAATTCCACCTCTACCATATATAGTTTGTTTCGGGACATTCTCTTCTGTTCCACTGGTGTATTTCTCTATTCCTACATCAATTCCACACTACCTTATTTTCTATAGAGTTTTGGTAATTTTGATACTCGGTAGTGTAGACCCTATACCTTGTTCTTTTTCAAAATTGTTTTGTCTATTCTTGGCCATTTGCTTTGCATTTAAACCCAGAACCTTTGGAAATTGGAATTACATTGAATCTGTTTATCAGTTTAGGCAGAATTCCTATCCACGAACGTAATATCTCTCCATTTATTTAGGTCTTCCAATGCCTTTCAATTAAGTTTTATAATATTCTTCTAAAGATCATGCACATATTTTGTTATAATTACTCTTATGTACTTTGTGTTTTGGGTTGTTTTTGTAATAAAGAAAAAGATACAATTTTCTACTTGTTGATTATGTGAATGAAATTGATTTTTATATATTGATTTTGCAATCTTGCCAAATTCATGTGCCTAATAATGTCTATAGATTCTTTTGTCAGAAGTCATACAGTGTGCAAATAAAAGTGGTTTTGTTTCTTCCTTTCTACTCCATACTCCCATCCCTCCCCCTTGTTTTGGTTAATTAGCTTGAGCTTTAATACAGTTTTGAATAGAAGCAATAATAGCAGGTAACTATTTTTTGTGTTGATTTTATACAGATACTTTAAATGTTTTACCAGTATATTATCAAGATTGCCATAGGGTTTTGGTAGCTACCTTTTTTTGGGATAAAGAAATTCCATTGCTTTCCTAATTTACTCAGAGTTTCCATCTTAAATGAATGTTGAATTTCATGAACTACTTTTCCTACATCTGTTGAGGGAATCCTATGCTTTTCCCCCTTTCTATCATTGTAGTGAATTATATTAATGGATTTCCTAAGTTTAAACTATCCTTGCATTCCTGAGAATTAATTAGCTTGGTTACAGTGGCTTTATTTGTTATTTTCACATTGTTAGATTTGCTTTGTTCATTTTACGTAGAACATTTGCCTCTATGATTCATTTAAAATTTTCTATCGCATACTTTTCTGATTTTGATATCAGACTTATACTAGCTTAATAAGATGGAGAGTAGTCTCTCCTTTACCATCTCAGAAAGTATTTGTGTAAAACTGAATTTTCTATTTCTTGAAGTTTTAATAGAATAGCCTTATAAACCGTGAATTACTAGTAGGTTTTTTCTGTGGATACATTTTTGCCATCATTTTATTATGAAATATTTCAAATATAGAGCAAAGTTGAAATAATTAACAAACTTGAATATGGGTTGAGAAATTACTTACAATAAACATAGCCCAAAGAGATGAAAACTATAAATGAAACTTAAAGGTACAGGATATAAAACAAGGAATTCTCTAATTAGAGCTCCTGAGGAGAAAACAGAAAGAATGGGGGAAAGATTATTTGGAAAATAAGGATGGATAAAATATTTTTTCGAACTAAGGAAGGACATCAGATTTAGATTTAACATTGAATTACAAAGTAAATAAACAGGAATCGATACCTAGAAATATTGTAGTGAAACTGCATAATACACTAATTTTCTCTGCCTGTTTCTGATCTGCTGCTTAATATGCTTTATTTATCAATGATATTATTTTTCTTTCTACAACTGCTATGGTGCTTTTTTCAAACGTCCCTGATCATTTTTGATCATCTCTTACTCCTTTTCACAATTTAGATTTCCTTTTTAATTTTTAGTGTTAAACCTTGTGTGTATTTTTTGTGTTTGATAATTCTGATCTAAAATCTTTGGGAGTCTTATTCTGCTATTTTATTGTTGTTGCTACTGCTGTTGTTGTTTTCTGCTGACTCTTGTTCATGGTTACTTATTTTTTTATGGCCTTTGTAATTCTGGATGTTGCCCTTTCATTTGGCTCATCTTTAACTTTGGGAATCCTGAGGTTGTGTTCCTCTAGACAATATGAGTGCTTGTTTGTGCCAGATTTTTCCACAGCATTACCAACCAGGACCACTTTAAGTTAATTGCTTGGCTTAGGGTTTCCCAGACAAGCCAAGTAGCAAAAATTCAAACCCAAATCCATGGATTAGCAGGTTATGGTTTCAAATTTCAAGGGATACCCAGAGCTCAGTTGGAGACAGGCAAGTTTTCTTATTGTCTTTGCCAGCTAGAGGACTTCCTCCCTCCCTCCCCAACCTGTTTTTTACTGATTCACCACCTTTTAGATCCCGGTATAGCTGAACACGCACATGTCTTTTAAACCTAAAGCTCGAGGTTCCTGCTATTGGCAATAGCAACTCACGTACCCATAGCTTCAGCACCAACTTCCTGCTCTGGTTTTGGCCCCTGAGGATTTCCCTTACTTTCTTATAAACTTAGCTATGCAGTTGGATTTTTTCCCCCTAGCATTTCTTTCGTTTTATACCAGGAGAGTTTTCAGTCTACCCAGTTATCTATGTTGAAGGAAATGAAAGTCCTATAGATTCTTTTATAATTTTGAATTGTTATTCTGGGTGATTCTGGTCTTGGAACCCATAGAATGTGGACACATTTTTATTCCTAGTTCTCCACTTTTATAGGCTGCTGTATCATATACATTTATTTGAGTATTTTTGGAGAGGGTTCATAGATCTGTAGAAGAAAACAGTGGTAATTTCTAATATTTCAAATAATAAAAATTAATGTTATCTTTATCAGGTAGTAGAACTGCAGAATAGATTATCTGAAGAATCAAAGAAAGCAGATAAATTAGATTTTGAATATAAGCGACTGAAAGAAAAAGTTGACAGTCTTCAAAAAGAAAAGGATGTAAGTATATATTAGGTATTTCTGTTTTGAGCACTGCTAAAATTGAGACAATGATATTTAATTCATGTTTTGGATACTTCATTAATGCCTTCAATTTGTGAATAAAAAGGATCATTGTTATTTTAAAATTATAGAAGATATCCATTTGTGTTTCAGAAGTAGATCTAAAATAAAAGATAAAACGATTGTTTTGATTTCCATTCTAATTTCTTTTATATATATTTATCTTTTCTACTACTGTTGGGTTTAACATTGTTCTGCTCATGACTTCCTTTAAAATTATATAGCTTTTCTGTTTTCTGTGTGATTAATGTAGGGGGTATAATTCTTGTTCAGCATATTTTGAATCTTTTAAAAATATTTGGATTTTGTTGTAATTTGTGAATGTTTAGTCTTTTTTCTTTGACCTTTTATGTTTAATGAAAATGATGTTATTGAAGAAATTAGGTACTTATTGTTAAAGAAGGAGTAGACAGTGTTGTTTCTTACGTTTTAACTGTGGATAGCTTATTGCCTTGCACATAGTAGATATTCAGTATTGTTAAATGAAAAAAACTATTTTAATTGTTCCATAGAAGGTCAAACGGTAAAGCATGTCCATGTTCACTACTGTTTTTCATTCTGTTAGTTAAGGCTAAAACCAATGATGAGTATAGTTATAAAACTTGAAGCTAACCTTCCATTTTTCATGTCTTTTCAGAGGTTAAGAACAGAAAGGGATTCTCTGAAGGAAACCATTGAAGAGCTTCGTTGTGTACAGGCTCAAGAAGGGCAGCTCACAACTCAAGGTAAAAATATTTCCGTAACCCAAAAAGTGTAATTTATTTCTACTACTATCAGTAAAAAATACTAGATTTACTTTATGATGATTGCACCAATAGATGAAAATAAAAAATTGCTGAAGAGGCCAGAAGATAGATACACGTTTTGAACTGTTACCTAGATTTTAGGGTAAACAGACTATACATGGTGGGGACAAGATTTTCTTGTCTACTTTTTTTAAGTTATGTTTAAACATTTGAGTTTTATTAGGACAAAAACGTAAACATTTGTTTAATTATCTCTGTTAATAATAAACCCATTCTGGAAAGTTTATCATGACATCTTTATATGAAACCTTCTAAGTCAGTGATTTTTTTCAACTGAGATAGGTAGGATGGGTATCAATCCATTAAGGGACTTCTATCCCAAGTGGAAAACAGCTTTTTCTCACAGTAAAGGAGCAGCACTGAACTTAAGGTTTACCCTCCTACCACTCTTTTGCCATCGCCCTGGGGGACTGTGGGAGCCTAACTGATGACTTGAACAGCTTCACAGTCTGTTCACTTCCTTGGCTATGCAGTTACCCGAAGCTGAATTTTCCTTTCCCTCTGACTACAACCACCTTCTCCAAACCCCGTTCTTACTACCAAGCCTGCTCATTTCATCTTCTAACCCCGTCTTAGTTATCTAGTACTGCGATAACAGATGTACCACAAGTGTATGGCTTTAACAAAGAGAGATGTATTCTCTCACAGTATAGGAGGCTAGAAGTCCAAAGTCAGGCGCCAGCTCTAGGGGAAGGCTTTCTCTCTCTATTAGTTCTTGGGGAAAGGCCTTGTCATCAATTTTCCCCTGCTCTAGGAGTTTCTCAGCCAGGAACCCTGAGTCCAACGGATGCACTCTGTTCCAGGTACTGCTTTCTTGGTGGTATAAGGTCCCCATGTCTCTCTGCTCGCTTCTCTCTTTTATATCTCAAAAGAGATTGACTAAAGACACAACCTTATCTTGTAGATTGAGTCCTGCCTCATTAACATAACTGCTGCTAATCCCACCTCATTAACATCATAGAGGTAGGATTTACAACACATAGGAAAATCATATCAGATGACAAAAAGGTGAACAGTCACACAATACTGGGGATCATGGACTAGCCAAGTTGACACACATTTTTGGGGGATAAATTCAATCCTTAACAAACCCCTGATGTTCTCTCTGTCAATCAACCTTTCTGGCCTAATTTTCCACTTTACACAGCCAACATATCAACCATTATTATTTTCACTATTACTCTCTTTTTCCTTATTCTCATAACCTCTTTCTAGACCAAACTTATCAAACCCTAATTCAGATATCCTAAATTTTTTTTCTCTATTCCAAGTTACCAAGGCCAACTAAAAAGAACATATATATATATATATATATATCTGCCCTGATTGCCTTTCTCAAAAATATATCATTTTTTTTTATAATTGGATCCTCATTGCTTCTTGACGATCCTTTGACATATCAACTCTACATGAGTTTTTCCAAAATTTGAAGACTCTAACCTGAACCTTAGCCTTTTTACTCTCAGCTCCTACATCATCAAAAAAAAAAAAAGAGGGAGAGAGACCGTTTTATACAAGGTCTCACATTTGTTTTCTCTGCTACTTATAAAAAACCTACACATTTTAACCTTCTTTATATAGATATCCTTTGACCTAGCAACTCTGCTCTAGGAATTTACCCTACAGTATATTTATGAGGTTATGAATTAAAGCATTGTTCATAATAGTGAAAATTTAGAAACAACCTAAAGGTTCAGGAGTATAGGAATGTCATTCTCATTCAACAGGCAGGAAAAAGAAATACAAGGCATCCAGATTGGAAAGAAGGAAGTAAAACTGTCCTTATTCACAGATGACATAATCCTGTATATTGAAAATCCTGCAGAGTCCACAAAAAATTATAGCAGTAATAAATGAGTTCAGCAAGGTCTCAGGATACAAAGTCAATATACAGATATTAGTTATATTTCTGTATACTACCAGTGAACAATCTGAAAATGAAATTAAGAAAAAAATTCCATTTGTATTAGTATCAAAAAGAATACATACATAAGAATAAGTTTAACAAAACAAATGCAAGACTTACCTGTGCCCTGAAAACTATAAAACATTACTGGGAGAAATAAAAGAAGATGTAAATAAATGGAGAGACAATCCATGTTCATATCTTGGATGATTCAACATAGTTAAGATGACAGTTCTTTCCAAATTAGTGTATAGAGTCAGTGTAATCCCAGTCAAAATCTCAGCAGTACTTTTTGTGGAAATTGACAGGGTGATCTTATAATTTATATGAAAATACAAAGGAACCAGAATAGCCAAAACAATCTTTAAAAAAGAAGAAGAAAGTTGAAAAAGTTACATGTGTTCAGATTTCAAAACTTACAAAGTTATAATAACTAAGACAGCATGAGACTGACACAAGGATAGACAGAGATCATGGAACAGAATTGAAACTTCAAAAAAAAAAAAAAAAAACCCATGCATTTATGGTCAATTGATTTTCAACAAAGGTGCCAAGGTAATTTCATGAGGAAAGGACAATCTCTTGAAAAAATGGTGCTGGGACAAGGATATCTACATGAAAAAAAGATTAATTTAGACCTTTACCTCACCCCATATATAAAACAAAAATGGATTATAGACTAAATGTAAGAGCTAAAACTATTAGAATAAATAGCAGGAGAAAATCTTTTATGACCTTTAGTTAGGCAAAGAGTTCTTAGATACAACATCAAAATCACAGTCCATAAAAGAAAAAAAAGATAAATTGGACTTTACCAAAATTTAAGACATCTTCTGTTTTAAAAGACACCATTAAGAAAATGAAAAGATAAGAAGAAAATAATTTTGCTGGTTGTATTTCCGATAAAGGACTTGTGTTCAGAAAATATAAAGAACTATTCCAGCTCAATAATAAAAACAAACAACCCAATGAAGAAATGGGTAAAAGATGTGAATAGACATTTCTCCAAGAAGACATATAAATGGCCAATAAGCACATGAAAAGATACTCAATATCATTAATCATTAGGAAAATGAAAATAAAAACCACTACACACTTGCTAGAATGGCTATCCTTAAAAACACAGACGAAACTTAAGTGTCGGAGAAGTTGTGCTCAAACTGGAAACCTCATACATTGTAAAGTGGTGCAGCCCCTTTGGAAAACAGATTGGCACATGGTTAAAAAGTTAAACTAAGTGTACTATACGACCCAGCAATTCTACTCTCATGTATCTACCCAAGAGAAATGCAAAACATATATCCCCAAAAGACCTGCATGCAGATGTTCATAGCAGTATTATTCATAATAGCCAGAAAGTGAAAACAATACAAATGTTCTTCATCAACTGACGAATGGATAAACAATAAAATGGATAAAGCAATAAAAAGGATCAAATTACTGATGCAGCCATGAAGAGAAATGAAGTACTTGCAAAGCCTAAAATGTTTACTACCTGGCCCTTTACAGAAAATGTTTGCCAACACCTGGTCCAAGGATCCTCAGCTGAGATGGCTCATCACTGCTCCACATGGTCTTATCTTCCAATATGCTAGCCCTGGTTTCTTCACAGGGTGGTTTCAGGACAGCAAGAAAAAGCAAGCCCCAGTATGCAGGCTCTTTTCAAGCTCATGCTTGGGTCATATATGTTAATGCCCTATTGGCTTAGGCAAATTACATGGCCAAGCCCAGAGCCATTGTAGGAAGGAATATATACAAACATGTGAATATAAAGAGGTAAGAGTTGTTGGGGTTCCTTAGAATAACAGTCTGCCACACTTTTAATAGACATTCTCAGTTGGTTTTAAAAACTATGTAAGGCAACTGTGACATGGTCTTTGGATTGAGAAAAGCAAAACAAAGATTTTAGCTATTAAAAGTAATGCTCAAAGTAGGGTTTCATGAAGAAATTGTATAATCCAACTAAAGATGATAGTTCTGCTTTCTGTTAACCTTGTATTCCTGTATGTATATTTATAGGGTTAATGCCTCTGGGAAGTCAGGAGTCTTCAGATAGTCTGGCAGCAGAGATCGTCACACCTGAAATCAGGTAAGTGGATCATGATGTTTGCAATCATACGGCAGTATTCGTGGAGAAAACTTAGTACTCTACTATATGAAGAGGGTCAGTTCCTTATCCTTTATTATTAACACGTTCAACATGAACTCAATATTCGATTTCCATATTTTCAGCATGTTAGAAGCATTCTTAAGCTGACCCAGCAGATACTTGATTTTCTCGCTTCAGTAGGAGAGTCTTTCAGGCATGCATAGCAAACTGACATCTTCTGTGTTTAGATATCCTCAACAAACATTTATTAATGAAAACACTTGGCCCAAAGACAAAAGTTATACTTAGCCATCAGCCTGCAAAATAGTTAATTAGATTTATATAGTAACCAGATGAAATAGTTCTTAAAAAGATGTAAACAGTGTAGTACATAGGAGGAAATACCCCTCATTTCTACTACCGTATTTTTATGCAAATAATGCACACCCTCTGCATTTGTTTGCCAGCCACGCCCTCCCCCCAGGAGATATTTTCTTAAGCGTCACTATGCCAGTTTTCTTTAGCATAGCACCCTTACAAAAATACCTCGCGGGGGAAGGGTGCGACTGGCAAACAAATGTACAAGGCACGCGTTATTTGTGTAAAAATGTAGTACTCCTCTCTCAGTAATACCTTATATTTTACTTAGTCATAGCATCTTTTAAATTTATTTCAGTATATACTTACCTTTATGTATAAAAATGAAAATTTGTACAGGAGGTACCATGTGTCTAGCAAAAGGAAAATAATTAATCCTGAATATTGCTTTTACCTTCTTTAAGCCTCTTTATCCCTTTTTAAAATGGACATGGGCCTTGATTACTTATAAGATCTTTGACAGCATCAAGTAAATTAATGGTCCTGTAAGAGTTTTATAAACTACACAAATTGCAATAGGCATTCGAATAAGTACTTGTTGAATAAATGAAGATAATTTATTGTTGGTGTTTATTAAAAAGGAATATAATGCAACACCAACTCTGGAGGCATCTTGTATACCTTTTACTTTTCTGCCATCTGATATAGTACATTATGTATACAATTGCATTAATAAAATTTTTGAATGAATAAACACTTTATTATTTTTTTTCTTTTTTTTAATTGTACTTTAGGTGAAGGTTTACGGAACAAATAGTTTCTCATTAAACAGTCAGTATACATGTTGTTTTATGACATTGGTTAACAACCTCACGACATGTCAGCACTCTCCCTTCTCGACCTTTTTTTTTTTTTCTCGGTGATAATGTACATAGCCAAAAATATACCATTTCAAAAATATCTACATGCACAATTCAGCAACATCGATTATGTTCTTCCAGTTGTGCTGCTATTCTCACTTTAG